TTAAAATTGTGCGCGCCCGCAAAATCGCAGCAAACGACCACACCGAAAACTGACCATAGGCAACGCTTTAAACGCTTATATTGCTCATCAGTTTAGTGTTATCGGTTATTAATGACCCTAAAATTATTGCTCTCACTCCAACATTCGCGGTAATGTATATCATGTGCGGCACAAAAGGTGCAATTGTCGTATTTGCATGTAGGCACACCCGAAGCATATCTGCGTGTGTACGTGGGGTGCTTAAAAAAAATTGTGTGTGTTTTTAAAAAATGTTTATGCCTCTTTATTTTTTTTTATAATACTTGTTTTTTTTACACAACTTTATTGCTTTCACATAGGGGGCTAAGAAGCCCCCTATGTGATAGCCAATATACATGACAGGCCCTCTTTATGTAGACATCAGGGGTCTCCAAAACCCCTAATGTCTTCTAGGGACCCCCAGAGATCGGCTTCATCAGCTCCTGTAGCTGGATTGTGACACTGAATGCAGGAAGTGATGTAATATACATCACTTCCTGCATTCAGGGACTGGAGAGGAGATCAGAGGGAGATTGTGTACTGACCTCCTGTCACAGAGCAGCCGTGCCGGTCCCGGCCGCATCGGGCACAGCGGATCTCGGGACCGCCAAGGATGCCTGCTCCTATACAAGCAGTCGGGCGTCTCTAGAGATGCCCGATTGCTTGAATGTAAAGCTCCCGGCCAGCCGTGTAATTACAACGGGCGGCCGGGAAGCTACTCATTGGCCTCCGCCGTCCTCTCGTCTGTGAGTGGAGTTTTCAAGCCCTGATTATGGGTGTGAGTGGGGGCCTCACATTTTGAGTTTCGCCTAAGGCCTCAAAGTCTAGAGCCGCCTCTGTCCTTACTAGTATTCAAACCAAGGCCCCCAGTGCTGCAAGTCAGAATTGCTAACTATTAAGACACTCAGCTGCCCATTTTACTTTTGAAAAGAGTAGGGAATAGTGAAAATCTTTTCAATCCCATTGGAATATTTCCTCCCATCTTCTGTTCTAATGGCAATTGTAGAATTTTGGATTTCCCATCACTTTCCCCCCCACACAAATAGAGAGGGTCCATCTCCCCGGTCAGTATACAGACACCAAAACCCCCACCCCCCACCCCCCACTTTGTGCAGAGCTGCTGAAACTGAACCATTAGACTCAAGTTAGGACTGGCCTTTACTGAATAAAGATCTTGGACTTAATTCCAACTCCCCTTCTTTGAAAGAAAAAAAAAATACAAGGCGTTTTGTAAATGGGCAAAAAGAAAGGAGGGGCAGGGATGTGATCGGAGGCACCTCACTGCTCAATAAGTACTATCCTTGTCGCACTCCTTACCGATATGTCCCTTGTAGTGGGGGGGTGCTCGCAGTGACTGCGGATGGCGCTGCAAATGTCAGCAGAATTGTTGGTCATATGACAAATAAATTCAATAAATGAAGCTTTTG